CTCGGCAAGGGGAACGGATCCTTCTGCTTTGGTCTAGCTCTGCTGCATTTTCGCAGCCCCAACTTGTGCTAGCATCCTTGTGCCTTGGGATATTCCATTTGGCCCAGTCTCTGTTCGGTTATCTCCGTGCTAAGTGATCAGGCAGTGCCAAAGCCTGCATGCGGGCACAGAAATTTGGTCGTTCTGTAGTGATAACGTTAGGCTGCTCCTTGGTACCGGTACTTGGGTCCTTGGCCCAAAGACCGATCGGTTGCGGTTCTGGAGCTGAGCTGTCTGTGGAACAAGTCCCAGTAGCCAGCTTGGATGCAGCGACCCGCTGCTGAGAGCCATGTGGATTCAGTGGTGGTATGTGGCACCGTGCCACCTGGCTACTGGAACGGTTTTGTTCACTACTACGGATAACACCTTTTGGTCTTTTTTCCCCCTTTTTTCTCCCCCCTCGCCCCCTCTGGACGAGGTCCTGGGGGCCGTTTTCTGCCGGTCCCTCTGCCGCCCAGCTCCTCATGTCACCTGTCTGGCTTGCTGCTTTCAGCAGCTTTCTTCATCGCTTCTTACAGCGCGTCAGCCTATTTCAACGCTGTGTCTTCTTGGGTCACAGCTCTGGTATTTAAGCCTCTTGGTGACTAGGCCGTTGCATTTGCCATCTGCCTTAGGGGCTTGGAATGAAAACGTGAAATTTTTTTGAACCTGAAAGCTTGTCTTTTCCAAGAGAAAAAAAAAAAAGAACGTGTTGGGAGGAAGGGGGAGAAGCCAGGAGTGGCTCCAGCCCCTTTGTATGCTGTCAGCAGTCTCTCATTTTGCTTATATGGACGAGGCGGCTGGTGCTGGGAAGCAGGCTGATGGAACGCTTCTGCATTGTAGGTGGAAGAGACAGTCCTCAGAACTGTATTTTATTGCTAATCCATTAGCACATATGTCGGTTACTGATCCAAATAATAAAGGATCAGATTTTTTTCCTGTCGCTTTGGTGGAGAACCAGTTTCCAAATAGCAAATTATTTCCATGTGGTCCAGAGGAGATTTGATGTTTTCTGACCGTTTTCAGCATGTAAGACAGATTTCTGGCAGTGTTGGTGGATTAGAGAAATAAGAGGGCAGAAGCACAGGGTTTCAGTGCTCAAGTCCAGAGATAACCTAATGATCTGCACAAGCCCCATCCTAAATACCTGTTCTGTGAAGTACCGAGGACTGACATGCCTGGTGCTGGTTGGAAAAAATTAGCAGCTGTATGTTATCTTTCTAGCTGTGCTAGCTAGGTTGTGGGGAACTTGGCCTTGAAAGCTGTGGAGATGGATGCGTTGAATGCAATTTTGTGAACAGGCTTGGCAACCTAAATTCTTCTAAAAATGCAAAAAAATTTCTGATGGCTTGGGCCACGGGTTTTGGTTTTTACACGGCGGATGCTCGGCACTTGTTGAAAATCAGGGTCACTTGAAAAGAAACAGCTTGAGGTAACAATCTGTGGTCGCTTCGAGAAATACATGCCGCTATCTTGTCTGCTGTAGCTTTAAATCCAAGCGCGTTGCCAAAAGATAACCAGATCTTTTGGTTTTAAGTGCAATGTTATGTAGGTTTTGGAAGTCAGCTTGCGTCACGTTACCAGTCACGCTTGTTCGCAGCTCACAAGCCCGCTGCGTAGCGGAGCTGTTGGATGAAAGCATCTTCTTTCTTTGCGCAGTGCTGTCCGTTTTCTCCGTTGCCGTTATCGGAAGCATCTCTGCGCTGGCCCGGAGGGGCTTCCTGCCGCTGGGCTTTGAGGCGTAGCCGAGTTGCCTGGGGCCGAAACGAAGGCTAGGTTATCCGCAGCAAAATAATGGGGTTTGCTTCAGGCGTGTAGGCTGCTGGGGCCCGCGTCTTAAAGTGGGATTTCTGCTCTGCTTTTGTCTCAGTTCCTTTCGTTAGGTCGCAAATTGAGGCTGTTCGGAGAGCCGCCTCCTTCCTGTAGCCTCTGAGGGGGTTTATTTTTAACCTTTGCTTAAGGAATAGCTTGGAGATTTGGAGAGAATGTGCAAAATGAGCTTATTAATTGGCTGTGACAGTTTCTGTGGTCATTTTTCTTGGAGGCAATAAGCCTCTGAAAGGATCACAAAATAAATCCAGTTTCGACCTCCATAAAAAGGTTACCAAGATCTTTCATAAGAGAAATCACTAATAGCGCAGTATAATACTGGAAAATAAGAATGGTATATGCTAATGGTTATGCATAGCAGAAGTATTATCAATGAGATAAAAGCCTGTGGTCTCATAGCAAATCCCACTGGATTTAAATAAGTGGAACTTTAGCCCAAGTGAGGCATAATTGTTTCAGTTATCATTTTAGAAAATGATATGCGTGGAATATCTTGCTTTTAGGCTTTTTTCAGGCTCTCTTTAATGGTATACTTGCTGAGACTGTACGAATAATTGACTGTGTCAGTGTAATCCAGTACAAGTATGCTATAGCGCTTTCTGTCCCCCGAACGCTTGGGGTTTGCTTGCATTTACTTGCCCCGCTTTGTGTAGGTCCATGCCAAGATAGTGTTTCTGTTATTGTTTATTTTTACTTCTGTAAATTCCATTTGCTGGAGGGTGATACCTGCAGTGAGGTAATAAGTGAATATTTTCACAGATCTTCTTTTTGTTTAGTGAACATGAGTATCAGCATTTCAAACTGAAACTCTATCTTCTGTTTTACTCAGGGGTAAATTCTAACCCAGCTGCTAAGTCTCCTCCAAAATGGACCCTTTCCCCTTTCATCTCTGTCAAGATGGTTTTTCTCCCAAGAAAAACACAGGCCAATTCATATGAACACATAATCTTTGAAAATCCTGAGCAAAACATGATGTAAGTCCGTAACACAGGGGCAATGTATTTGATGGATTGTTATTTCCACTTCTGTCTATAATCTTGGGGATGTGGCTTGGGGAGGGGAAGAGCGCACGCACGTCCGTAGAGCAAGCGTCGCAGAACGTGATTTCAAACTGTGAATTCCTGTCCAAGGTCCGAGCGCGTGAGGTTCACCGTAGGGACTGCGTCCTCCTCCACCGGAGGGTCGGGGAGCGCTGCTGGCCCTCGCGGGGAGGGGGCCACGCTGCTGCGGGCGAGGTGCCCGCTGACCCCCGCCTTCTCCAGGCCGCTTTGCTGCCGCTCTGGGGTAACGCGGAGGGGTGCCCCGGAGCGAGGGAGCTGGGTAGGGACCAGGTACGCTTCGTGCACAGGCGACTTCCCTACGTCAACTTGTAGGCTTCTAGAGAAACACATCGGTTGTCTTTTCGTAGTGCTTCAGTGGTTATAACAGCCTCATCAGAGTTTGCAGACAGCTGAAAACAGATTCTGTCCAGGTTTATTACTGCTTCAGGCATCTCGGTTTGAATTCTTGCAGAAGCCATGGGAGAAGAGGGCGGTGGCCGGATGCGGTGGGTCCGGGTGGAGGCAGGCTCTCTGGGACACTCGGAGGGGTGAGTTACAGCTGGAGGAGATCCCCGAACTGCTTGCATTCTAGTCAGACACGTGCAGAAGATGCTTGGTTTTCTCACTTACTGGTTTAAGAGTGCGGATAAAAATGTAAGCATAACACTATATCTTAAAAGGATTTTTTTCACAAG